GGCTGCTCTGTGATCTTCTCAGAGCCTTTTCTTCTATATTCTGAACAGCCCAAATGTTCTCTTTTCATAGGAGTGATGTTCCATCTCTCTAATCATCTTGGTGGCCCTTCTGTGGATTCTCTCTCACAGGTCCATGTCCTTCCTGTGCTGGGACCCAGAGCTGATGCAGCCCTGCAGGTGGGGTCTCAGTAGAGCAGAGCAGAGGGGCAGAATCCCCTCCCTGGCCCTGCTGCCCACCCTGCTCTGGATGCAGCCCAGGACACGTTTGGCTTTCTGGGCTGTGAGTGCTTATGGCCATGTATGGTCCAGCCTCTCATCCACCAGCACCTTCAAATCCTTATGGGCAGGGCTGTGTTGAAACCAGAGGCTGCTCCAACACAGGTGCAGCACTTTGCATTTGGTCTTGTTAAACCTTATGAAATTCTCATTCCTATTTGTCCAGGTTCCTTTGAAGGACATCCTGATCCTGTCCTTTTTATGTGGCAACTGCATCACTTAGCTTGTTATCTTCAAACTTTCTGAGAATGTTCTTGATCTACCCTGTCAATATAGTTGATGAAGATATTAAATAAGATTGATTTCAGAGGGACACCATTCAATTGCCAGCATCCATCAGGACTCTGAGCAGTTGACCACTACCCTCTGAAGGCAACCATCTAGTCAATTTCTTTCCACTAACACAGATACATCTCTCCAATTCAGTGAGAGGGAGCATGAGGGGATCTTACAGAAGTCCAGATAAATGACATTTGTAGCTCTTCCCTTATCCACTGATGTAGTCACTTCATCACAGAAGGCCGCTCAGTTTGTCAGGCAGGACTTTTCTTTTGGTGGAGCTATGCTTGGTGTCTTGAATGTAATTTGAAATCACAAATATCATAGTCCCGTTAACCAACAGTATTTTTTATTTTTTTTTTTTGCTTTGACGTGGTGTGACACCTACAAACACAATAGAGAACAGTACATAGTAAGACAAATGTTGCTGTAATCCGTCAGGAATGTCAGTCAGGATACTAGGAACCTTCTGTTCTTTTCTGTTGTAAAAATATGCAGAAGGGAACAAATTAATTCAGTGTAACTGTTGGGGATCAGCTGTTAAGCTGCATTTCTGTATCCTCTTTGTTTCATGTGACCAGCAGGGATGCAGGTACTGGCTGCCATCCAGTCTATATACTGTGACCTCACTATGGGAATTGCATAGCATGTTCACAAAAATGGAATTGTCAAATTTTAATTTATTGAATTTGGGGATTATTTTTCAAGTACTCCTTTCAATTCCATTTCAAACAAGTTTACTTCTAAAGCTGTGAAATTTTTCCAATACAATTTTTTTTTTTCTGGAAAGTACTTCATTTTGTTTACTCAAAGTTATATTAAACAGGGTATATCTTGGTATAACTGAGAACTCAAAAACAAACTCAAAGAGCAGATTTAGTCCAAATTTTACAGCAGAAGTACCATATATTGGAGGCAGACTATGTAGAGACAGATCTGTCATGCTGCTAAGCAGCACTGACCTAAGTAATCTTAAAGCCCTCAAATATAATTCATGTGAATACATGCAGCTGGTGATCATTGGGATCATTGAAGTGCATTGCAGTCAGTGGGTTGATGACTGGATAAAGTGTTCCACCCTGGGTATAGGACTATAAGCTTTGGAGAACATAATCTCACCAGCAAGATTGAAGTTTTCCTGGAAATAATTTTGCTAACTGAGGGAATTAACCTAGTATAATCCATGGTGTGTTGAATTGCTGGAAGTTCCCAGAACATGATTATTATCAGCGTCATGCACTGTCATGCATCACCTTGTTTCTCCTCTTTTTTGGTTTCTGTAAGGTCAGATTGACCCTTTTATTCTTTACTATTTTTCTTTTATCTCTCACTTCAGATGGGAAGTAAATAGCTTTAAATGGGATTGCCAGTGTATGAAATGTCCTGCCTTGCTGCCACCCCATTTTTTTGGTTTTTTGTTTTGAGATTTAGGATTCACAGTTGCTGGTTTCTTCTGAAATCTCTTCTGTTTCATCTGCTGAGTCAGAAGCCTCATGCTATTCTGTTAATTCTGAAGTTTGTTGCTATGGTGCAATGTTCTTCTCAGCTTCATTTATGCAGTCCCTCTCTACCAATGTTTTGCTCTCCATGTGCCTCCGTTTCCTTATTTACTCTTATACTCCTTTTGGCAGGCTCTTTCTGGCATGTGTGTTCCAGTATTGTCCTCAATCTCCAGTGAATGCCTAACTAGCAAAGCAGACCCCAGACACATGAAGGCAAAGATCAGTGAGAATAAGTACAAGCAAAGGCTTGTAGAATCTGCCCATAGAATCAGCAAATATTAACCCTAATTAAATAAGACGGGTAGTTCCAAATGCTGTATAAAGGGGCATCTATATTGAAGTTTTTGGGAGCTCTTTCCAAGTAAGGAAAAAATCTTTAGAACTAAAATTAGGATGCTAGGACAATAGCTTCTTATATGTACTAGCAGTTACAAAGGTTTTGTTGAAAGACTAAGAAGATTTTTACAAAACTGTATATGCATTCTTTCTTGCTGTAAAGCAATATATTAAATTCTTTTTTTAAAATACATTTTTCTTTGCTTTGAGAGAGACTTAATGTCCTATTCTATTTGGCTTACTTATGGGCAAGTAAGGCACTGCATTGTACTAGCAAGAATATATCAATGCTTGTAAGTTTCTTTATAATATGCCTATGAAAAATCAGTACAATCTAATCATACTTACTAAAAAACGCCAATTATAATATCCTGTATATTTTGGTTGCATGGCGTAAGACATTCTCTGTCTCTGAAAATGATGTAAGGTTCCTTTTTTTTATTTTTAAAATGCATCTTTCAAAGTGTCAGATTTGATATCATCACAGTATATTACAGTTAAAACTAATAGCCATGTCTCTACTGAAATTCACCTTTGTGAAAAATTGTTGAAAAATCATCACATATCATCAAAAACCAAAACAATATCATTTTTGCATTTAATTGCTTAAACTGTTTTGTAAATGTGAAAAAGAATATTTGCAAAGAAAAAAGCATCATCAGACTGTTAAGTATCCATTTTTTAATAGTTACATTCTGTCAGAGATTGGATGCTCAGAAACTCAGTTGCAATACTTTTCATAAAAGTGATGAGTGGTTATCCACAAATTCCTCAGCTAGAACATTTATAAGTTTGTCCTTAGGCTTAATTTTTCATTGTCCTGTTTTGTAGGTTTATTTTAATTATTGTATTTATTCGTACAATAAGATATATGCCAAATGTTTAGGAAAAATCACTTCAAGAAAAGTAGTGTAAAGCCACATCTGGAGTAAAACAGTGATTTCATGCAAGATTTTATCACACAGAAACAAATAGTAATAGCGCTACAGACCTGGAGACCTCTTCATTCCATTCTTTTTGCTGCCTTGATAGAATATAAAAATGCAATACTATAGATTTAATGATCTAATTAATGTAGGTGTCATATCACCTGATGAAGCAAGTAACTTTTTTTATGTTTTCACAAGTGACAAGAGAGTGGATAAATTATGTAGCCCCTCTAAAGCCAGTCAACAACAGCACTGGTATCAAAACAGTGTTTGGGAGACATTACTATGAACAGTTCCTAAAATTAAGTGTTTTGAGACTATTTTGTTTAATTTGGATGCAGAAGTATTTGAATGTCTGACCTGGGGAATGAGAAATGAGCTTAGTTTGCAAAACTACCACTGTTTAGGTACTCTGAGGTTTATTATCTTTTCCTAAATGTAAAGGCACTAAATTGGCAAGAAACTTGAAAAGGCTAAATTTTGTATTTCAGTGCTTCTCCTACATCTCACTTCAGCAAGTTTAACACTTTAGCTAAAGTCAATGACTTGTGAAATTTTGGAGGGGGAAAGCAGTGCCATTTCTGTATCTGTGTTTCGTTGTCCTGGAAAATGTTTTGCATAATCACTGTTCCAGTTTATGAAGCACATGCAAAAACATGTACATTTCTTGAATGTCTACTGGTTCCTTATCTCTGTGTCTTTTACTGTGATGTTATAGAGCTTGGATCATATGGAAACCTAAAATATTATGACACAATGACTGAAGAAGGTAAGAAATATTTTAGAATTGTTTGTATGAGCTTTTTTTGAAGCCCTCTGAGTGCCTTTTTTGTGTTTTCATTTTCCTTTGTTTTTCTTGGTCCTATTTTCATTTTCTCCATTTTTGAATAACTCATTTTTGCATGTGTTTATTGGTGGCTCAATCAGTTACAACTCTTTTTTCAAGTCTTTGTTTTCAACATTTCAGTTCTGCTATTTCAGGTAAGAAAATACAATGGGATGCTTTTAGCAAAGAACATATGGAAAACCATACTTGCAAATTTTATGGCACAGTATAACATAGCTTGTAGGTGCTTTTTTGATGCCATGTTTTACAATGCATTCAAGAAGAGAAATTAATTTATGGATTTTCAAATCACTTAGAACAATTGATAAATAACTTGAGTTTACTGCATTTTTGAAAAGCAATTAATAACCTTTAAAACTAGACATGTTTATTCCTGGAGTATTAATTGTATGCTTGATTGCAGTGCAAAAAATTTGCAGTTTGAAACCCACATTCTAGCAATACAAGAAGGAAGTAATTAGGGCCTGAATCAGGGCTCAGTGAAATCTCAGGAAATTTTTCTGCTGATTCAAAAGCACTGCAGTTCTATCATACTAATTCAGGAAAGCAGTTAACTCTGTACTAAATTTCCAGCACATGCTTTTTGTCCTAGTGCGGTCAACATTTCTACAAGTTGGAATTATCCCTGAACTGAGACCTGATTGTCTGTAGGATTGAGGCCTCTTGTCTATCCCTCTGATTATAATGCCAGATAGGTGTTTTCATTATGTTAAGTTTAGAGATTAGCAGCATGTTTGGGGATGGGGTAAATCTTGAGGACTCTAGAAAAGTTAGCTGCCTATTCCTACTTGGTTTTAATCTTGGGAATTTAAGACAAATACTATAATTCTCTCTTTTTAAAAACACAATTGCTTTCTAGTGTTGAGTAATCTTGAAGATTTTAAGAGAATCTTCATTGCATTACTTACTCATGATCATTCCTCAGGGAGGACAGAAAGTGATAATGCCTGTTTCCCTCTTTCTGTATCTGCTGTTGATACACCAATATAACCGTCCAGTTCTGGAGCTGGCTGTGGGAGGTGGTTCCATGCACCTTTGCACCAGGCGTTGGAGGATGCTCTTTTCCTCTGTGGCAGGCCTGAACTTGTAGAATGGTCTTGCCTCACTGCTCTCCATTGCCCAGATTAAGCATCTGCTTCACAAGGGTGGTACCAATATTGGAAAAGGTGTCTGAAAGTAGATTTTAAGAGGCAAATAGTGGTGTCTGTGTTGTTTAAATAGACACCAAGAGCCTGTAAGGAGCCATTAACCTGGGCCACTCAGCTATGGCTACCAGACATAAAGCTTTTGCAGTATGTCTTATCTCAGTCTTCATTACAATCAAGATAAAAAAGGATTTTCTCATTGTAGCCTTAAACCTGGGTATGTTAAGGGTTTTATTTTTATTATAAATAAAAAATAAATATCTATTACTTCAAAAGTAGCCTTCTGAGATTCATAAATACCCTATTGACATCTAAATGTAGTTACTTGTAGGGAAACACCTGTTGCAATACAACACATACATATATATATATTATTCCAGTGCCTATTCAGAATTAATGCTTTTAATATTCAATGTCACCTCAGAATGCATTTCTCATGAATCAATAATTCAGGACCATACCATAACAATAGGAAAAATTCAGTAGCAGAAATAAGAAGGAAGTTCTTTGTCTTTAGAAGCACTAACACTGACAAGAGTCTATGGTGCAGTTTGCCTTCTCAAATAGAACCATCATCATTTTCACTTGTCTTTCACAAGGCAAGTAATGATTAGTGTATCTCAGAAGTTGTATTTTGATCAAAGTATACTATATTTTCAGCTTTGTGTTTGGATTTTCAGAAGTTTAGCTGCTATCACACTTACTTGCATTAACCATTCATTTCTTTCACTTTCTTTTTATGACTGATATTTTTGTACCTTTTGCACAGCAACTTAGTCACAGGAATACATAAATCCAGTTACAAAACCATTGAATTTTTGTAACATCTTTATGTCCAGTCCTTAAGCCTGGAGTGTAGATACAGAATATTTTTTCAGTTCTCCAGTGAAGAAACTCAGGTGCATTTATTCTTCCTGCTGCATCAGAACAGTCAGGGACAAGAATTAATGGTTAAGCTATAATACACAATCAGATTTAGCCTAATGGCCAGAGAGCCATTGTGCTCCATATATTGGAAACTGATTTCTATTGTTTTGATCAATTCTCTTTGGTCTGAAAGTTACTTTAAATTAATTTTAGATTTATCAGGTCAAACTGAGAGAGTAAATGTGACCCACAAGATGAGAAGAAACCCTCGCTGTAATCTTGTGTTCCACCAATAGTCTACAACATTACTAAATTGCATGTGTTTTCATTTGATACTTCTGCTTGATCTTAAAGAAGGAAGCATGTAAGGTGGATTTCTGGATTTAGATGGGTCGTAGCTCACTAATTATCTTCCACATCAGGTCATGAGCAGAATTTGTAAGTACAGTTCAGAGTGCTCAACAGCCACAGGTTTGACATGTTCAGACTCGTGAAAGCTTGGCTATAGCTACATAGATGCAGTAATGTTCCTTTGATCTCAGACTGAAAACAAGACAAGTGGTAGTCTTAATTTTTTTAAATTAGTGAATTTCTGAATAACTGTTTTCACATCAAATCAGATGTTTTTCTGAGCCAGGTAGCCTGTACACTGCAATTGAGTTTGTTGATAAAGGATTGTCTTTTTAATACATCCTTTATCAGGAGGAGAATGTCTGCCAGGTAATGCTAGCTGGAGTTACTCATGCAGATAAACACATATCTACATTATACAATACTGATTTGTTTGTATCTATTCAAACAAAAACCAATGTCGTTTTAAGCTACCTTGGTAATCATCTGGCCTTGATCAGCTCTTCCTTCCAATTCATTCTTTGCAAACTCAAATAAGCTGCCAAATCTGTTGGAGTTTAGTGAACCTAGATTAACTAAGAATTTTCTATAGCGATCTGTCCTATTTTAGGTCCATGGAAGCAAGCACTGTCATTCGTCTGAACTCTCATTATACCACCTGTTGTGAAAAGCTCTGTTGCGTAGTCAAACCATAGTACATAGGACTGTTCCAGAGGAAACAGAGGCACCTACCTCCTAGAAATAAGAATGGTGACATAAGATTCCTATGCTTGCTTTATTTAGTGACTCCACCTAAAGATAAGAAAAAAGACATAAGAGAAGATCTGTGCCTAAGATTGACCTTAGTGGCTTTCTGAAAATTGGAATGACTTAGATACGTCCTCAGCTGGTCCTTTTTCTTGTGGCTCTGTGCTTTCCCTTCAGTGAACAAGTTTTGGTTTGGTTTAAAGGAGGAAAAGGGTAGAGAAAGGGAGGGAGGATGGGAGAGAGGGAGGGAGCATTGCTCTGCTGTCTTTTCTACATTTCAGTGTCTTCATGCAGGCAAGTGCTACTGCTTTTGTTGGTTTCATGTTTTTGATAGTTAATAATGTTTTTTAATCATTTCTTTGCATTTTTGTTACCTACATTGAGTGAATCTAATCAAAGGTAATGATGTAAAACAATGTAAACTGAATCGTGCATCTGCTGAGAAATAAAAATAAATCAAAATACATTTTCCATTTCAAATGTTGATTTTAACTTCCATGACAGTGACTTACAACTGTGGAACAGTCTCCTGAATGAAATGGTGTAACTTAAAATTGTTAAAAGTCAGTTTCAGAAATTCTTTCTAAAGATGCTGGGAGGTTTTTGTAAATGTGAAAAAAATGAAGGACACATTCCATTTAATAATCTAAACCAGTGTAAATCTCTGCGAAGACATTTTCTTTTCAGTTCTATAGTGGTCATGCTTCTCTGTTAAGAAAACCTACACAGTTTCAGTCTGTCTCAAATAAAATACTAGAATATCCTTAGGTTCTTCATAATTTTAATTAATCTCTAAAACTGGATCTTTAATTGAAAGGTCTTATGACATCTTGTAATAGGTGGAGACATGGATGGCTCCACTTATATTTTTCAGAAATGTCAGCTGCATCATTTTCATGGCTTGCATAAAATGCCTTTCTATATGTGGCATTGCAACCTGAATTCTCAAACATATGAAGATGACTTGGAATCTGAAAGATAGCACAATCCTTTAGGAAACTGAAATTATATCAGGCATATTTTATTATCTACTTACTCTTCTGGGTAAGCAGTTTTAAATGCCCCTACTCTTTCAAAAGAAGTTAGGAACCACCATGACTCAGCATTTCAGCCTGAAATATTTGGGGATATGATTAGTATTTTTCCTAATTTTTTTTCTCTTTTAACTGCTATCCCAAAAAATTCCTGTTCTTTCTCTCACTCTCTCTAATTCTTTGTTACTTCTTCCCTTCTAACTAGAATCTGTACCTCTTACCCTCTGCAGTGAAATAATGAGATGCCTTGTTATTTATGATTGTATTCTATGCTTAAATACTATTCTGCAGGCGTTTAACTCTGTGTGCCAAAAAATATAATGTTTGCAAAATATTGTGAATTGCTAATTTTGATTTTTTTTTTGGAGCATGATGTGTTTGTGAAAAGATAGGGACTGCAGAAAGGATAGTATGGCTTATTAAATATTTGTGGTATTTTTATTACTTTCCAACTAGTTTTCTGTTGAGAAACTAGTTCCACTTCCCAACAAATGATAGTTGCTAGTCCCTGTGAACTGGTCATATGCTTCTCCACGTAAAAAAGTGTGGGTACAGGGCTGTGAAGCTTCTGTTTTAAGGAAAGAGAGGATTTCTTTCCTGACTAATGATTTACCCTTGTATGCTTGGAATTTCTCCAAGTTTTTAGCTTAGCAACAAGTGTTGCTATCCAAATAACTGAATTACTTCAGGACTTATTACTTTTACTTTCCACTGTTAGTCTTTTATATCATTCCAGTGAAATATCTTCTGGTGTTAAGCCTATGCTAGTTTTGCTGCAGGGACACCAACAGTTTTCAATAGAATTTTTTACGGGAGATGAAGAATTAAAAGAGCTACAGGCCCTGTATCATAATGGTATTTTTAGTTAGAAAATGTGCTGTAAAATAGCCACCAGTTAAACTTCTTAAAAATATTTTAAAATGCTTTAAGTCCATAACAATCAGGATAAATTAGTAAAGGCAGATACATCAGCTTTCTACACATCATAGGTTGTCATAAGATGTTCAAAGAGTCCTTACATAGAAAGATCTATGAAGGCAGAAAAAGGTTTCATTTTACCTAATATGGACATCTTTGAAATTATCTTGTTTTAATGTATCATTTGGACACAGTGGTCAATGAAGAGTGACAAAATATGGGATCTCTGGAGAGTCTGTTGCCCTAGAGAGTGTAGAGGTTGAGTTGCATTGTTAACTTCATGTGAGACAAAAAAAAACCCAACCTGGCAGGTTTAGAAGAAAACATACCTCTAAGAATCTGATATGAAATTCTGGAGAGTTCTTCTTCCCCTTCTGAATCACAGAATCACAGAATATGCTGAGTTGGAAGGCACCCACAAGGATCATCAAGTTCAACTCCTGCTTCCCCACTGAACAGCCCCAAGAGTCACACAATGTGCTTTGCAGCACTGTCCAAATGTGTCTTGAACTCTCTCAGGCTGGTGCTGTGACCTCTGCCCTGGGGAGCTGTTCCATTGCCCAGCCACCCTCTGGGTGAAGAACCTTTTTCCTAATATCCAACATAAACCCCCCTGACACAGCTTCAGGCCATTCCCTTGGGTCCTGCTAGTCACCAGAGAAGAGATCAGTGCCTGCCCCTCCTCTTCCCCTCACGAGTAAGTTGTAGACTGCAATGAGGGCTGCCCTCAGTCTCCTCTAGGCAGAACAGACCACTCAGCCACTCCTCATACAGCTTCCCCTCAAGGCCCTTCACCATATTTATAGTCCTCCTTTGGACACTCTCTATCAGTTTAATGTCTTTCTCATATCATGACACTCCAAACCAGCCCCCAGCACTCGAGGTGAGGCTGCCCCAGCTCAGAGCAGAGCAGGACAATCCCCTCCCTTGCCTGGCTGGTGAAGCTGTGCCTGATGCCCCCCAGGACAGGGTTGGCCCTCCTGGCTGCCAGGGCACTGCTGACCCATGTTCAGCTTGCCAGGTTTGTTTCCATGGCCCTGCTTACAGCATCTCATTCCTGTTTTGCCCATACATCCAGGGTTGCCCCATCCCAGATTGAGGATCCGGCACTTTCCCCTGTTGAACTTCATGTGGCTGGTGCTTGCCCAGACCCCTGATTAGTCAAGGCCTCTCTACAGGGTGTCCCTGTCTTTTGAGGGAGTCAGCAGGTCCTCCCTTTTTGGGAACTTGCTGAGTATTCCTTCCAGTCCTGCCTCCAGGTAATCTATGAAGATGTTGAAGAGCAGAGGGCCGAGAATGGAGTCCTGTGGAGCCCCTCCAGTGACAGCTTCCCAGTCTGATGTCACCCCACTCACTGTAACCCTTTGTGTCTGTCCTGTGACCTGGTTGCTCACCCATCCCATGATGTGTTTATCCAGCTGTGGGCTGCACATTTTTTCCAGAAGGATCCTGTGAGAGACAGTATTGGAAGATTTACTGAAATGCAAAAATATTACATAAATTAGTTGCTGTTTATCAACAGGGTGTGTTACCTTATCATAAAAGGAAATATGCTTTGATAAGCAGGACTTTCCCCACATGCTGATTGTGATAAGTGATAGTGTTGTCTTTCAGGTGTTTTTCAGTAACTCCCAGAATAATCTTCATAATTTTACCAAGCACTGAAGTGAGTAGAAGTCAAGACAAATAGATAAGTCCAAAGTGACAAAACTGACAACACTCACTATAATGCAATGTATTTGTTAATATGAAATTCTGTTCTGCAGTACTACTAATTGAGAACTGAAACTGTTTGTGTTTATTTATGATATCTTGATCCATTGTATTGATCTTCTGCTTCAGCTGAAATCTTACACCAGCACATTTATAGGTGAAACTTTACTGACTTCTTCCAAAGAAAAATAATAGCTTTTGGCTTCAATTTCTTGTTCTATTCATTGCTGAGTTCTCAAAAAAAAAAAAAAAATACATTTTCAATTCTATAAAAAAAGAAAGAAAAAAACCCCAACCGTGTATACAGGAACATGAGATAGTGTTTAATAGCATATTTGCTGTTTGGGGAAGAATTGAAATGGATTATCAGCAGTGATCTATAGAGACTAAGCTATGTCAAATAAATTTTGCATCTCAAAATGGCTGCATTGTAATAATTACAATGTTTTCTTTTAGGAAAATTCAAAGAAAGGGCCTCAATTCTGCATAAGATTGCCAAAAAAAAGTGCCAGGTAGAAGACAGTGAAAGGCAGAATGGAGCTGCTAATCATGGTGAGTGCAGCATTGCAGATTTTATCACCTGTGCCTGAGAGTCTCTTTCACTGTTTATTTTGTTTGAAAATTGTTAATCATTACTTTCTCCTACATTACATGTGCTATTTTAGTAAAAATACTCTGATTATATGCACTAAAGAATATTAAATTTATGGATGGGACAGAAGTTAAATGCAAGAATAGAAAGCCAGTCAAGGCATATAGAAAGTCTTCTAGGCAGGTTGAAAAGAAAAAGTAAAGCTGATTTTGGTTATGTGTTGAAGTGACAGAAGGCAAAACTTCCTTGCAATATATATGGGAAAATATAATTAATTTGTTGAAATGTTCTAGTAGAATGTGTTTTATATGGTACCATCCTTCTCACAAGAAATATCACCTTCATATTTAAGATTTGATTTGTCTGTATACTACTTTCTGGGAGTCATTGAGGCTCATCTATGCTAATTGTGGAAAATTAACTTACTAGAGTTTGCCATTAAGGCAAGAGTTTTTATTTTAGTTCCAAAATTCCTATGATAAAGAAAAATCTGTACCATGACCTCTTTTCTCTACTTTACCTCATCATATTATCTGCGTTAGAAAACCAGATACAAATGTGTCCAATAAAATCTGAATTATTTTATTACTTGACACTTTTTCTGACCTTGTGTTATGTTTACATAGTATTTGTTTCCAAAATCAGGCAGTTGGTTGGGATGGTCTGTTAATAAACTATAATGCTGACTGCGGGGTTAAGAGACAACACACATTCTGAAATAATTACAGATAGTCTGGCACTCTGCTATGGCTGTGATCTCAGATTTTTAATTTAGAAGAATCTCAGGATAGCAGTAATGTAACTAGACAGCTGTATTTACTTCTATGCACAAGAGCATACCATAAGGCATGTTGAACTTGAGTAAGGCATTTCATATTGCCATTCCCATTATTTTGTATTGTCCAAGGGATTTTGTGCCATTGACACATTTATGTACTACATACTTATAGAGGTAGTTACCACTTAGAGTATTCCAAGATAGTAAAAGTAAGAATAAATTTTAATAAATTTGGCATCAGAAACCAAAGGCCTAACTTTATCTCTTTAACTCCTGTGAAAGTTTAGCACAAGGACTACAGGATTCTGATTTAAAGATCATCCTCTAAGGTGTTATTACACCATATGTTTATTTTTTCCCCATATTTTTGCATGGAAGATAGCAGGATTACAGCTTGTAAGTAACTTTAGTAATTGCAGGGGTTAGTGTGTTATAAAACTTTTATCGCTGAACGTATCCCCTCAGCTGTATTCAGCATAGTGCATTCTGTAATGTCAGGGGTAAATGCTGTATGTCACTTTTTACCTAAAATATTAGGCTCAGTGCATTTCACATAAACAAAGAGCACTAAATATTGCAATGAACCTAAATATTTATCAAATTGCTAGCTCACTTCTTATAAGATTTTTATTGAAAATGTGTAGTAGACAATTTTTTTTTTCTCTTTTAACACATATGTTGGTTCAACATTAGTTTGCTCAGACTTAATATATAACAGCTATTTCACTAATGTATTTGTAATTTAATGTTCTATCTGTTGTTTTCCCTCTCTTATCTATGGATGATGCCACAGAGAAAGGTGCAAAAGTGGAAGTTGCAGTAACACCACCGAGTGATTCAGGACCAGTGCAGAATGGAATCGCCCATAATGTTGAAGAGGTTAAAGACTTTTTTATTCTTCTTTTTAGTCTTGTGTTAGCAAATATATTACGTATTTGATTGTGCTTTTCACTGAGAGTAAGCATCTTCATAGAAAGAAGCTGACAGTATGAACTGTCTACATAATATTTAGTTTTCATTTACAGCTGAACCCAGTGCATAGTTTGCCATATGTAAAAGATCTTACCTTCTGTTCCTGCCCTTTAGTGTAAGGTAAGGTTGGAGTCTAGAATCTATTCTTTTGGGAAATGTTTTTTTACTGTACAGATAAGATGTTTGAAGCCATAAATATAGCTAATAGAAATTGCTTGTCACATTGCACAAAACCTGTTCTCTTAAGAGAACCTGTCATGATGTGCATCATGAAATAGTCAAAATTCATTATGAAAGAGGACCTGTACACAAACTTCTGTATCCTGCCTTCTGTTATCTTGCTTCATAAGATTTTTTTCCCACTGAGTATATTCAGTGAAAACAATGAAGAAAAAGCAATCCCATATCACAGCAATGTTCACATGCTTTTAATTTACATTGTAATAAAACATTTCCTTGGCTTGTTCAGAAATCTACAAGGTCAAGGAGCTTTATCATTTGAGATAATGGTTTCAATTTCAAGCCACTGCAGGGGAAGAAGGGAAAATTATTGCAAGAGTACATTACTCAACAATGTGCAATTCCTTTCACCTCCCTTTGGACAGTTTAAATTTGCAGTGATGCAGGCTTTGGAACTTTTATGTTTATTTCAGCAAGTATTAGGACATTCTGAACAATGATTCTAATGTATTAGATGTGGGATACATTATTTATCCTTATCCAAATGGCACAATAGAGCAAAGCAGGGCAGTTTGTAACTGGTGGAGGAATGAGTCTGCAGATTTAGCTCCATCAATCTAAATGGAAGGATTTATCTGCTGTCAAAATAAAATCTAGCAGTCTCCTAACAGCATTTTGAGATGGTCCATGCTGGATTCGTCCCCAGTGGCCTTTCCAATTTTGTCTTCTTTCAGTGGTAACCTGGCAGCTTTCTTAGGCTGCTTGAGTATTGCTGAAACATATTTTATAATTTAAAAGTACATACTGAAATTTTTGAGAAGTTGTAATACAAATAATTTACTCATCCATGGAACAAGTAAATAGGCTTCCATAATACTTAGGACCCTACTTCAGGGTCTCTGCCAGCTCTGTAGTGTACCAGAGGCTCTCCTTAATGTATTGCCTGGCTTTTATGCATAGCTTCCTTAATCGCCTTTCCAAACTCTAGCATCACTCTGAAGCTAACACTGGGTGATTGAGTTTCCTTCTGCTCTGTATATTGAGATAAGGTTACTAATAAGATTACTCTCCATTTATAGAAGACAACAAAATTTGCAGGCAACAACAGAAGGCCATTCACAATATTTCTGTGACCCTTTCCATTGATGAATATTAAAATTGGAAGAAGGGAACTTGGTCATTGCCCTCTTAAGCCTTTTTTTTAGCTTTTCAAAACTTGACCTACAAATGGTCTTGAATTTTGATCTTTTTGTAACCAAGTGTGCTCCATTGTATGTTGATACAATTTGCTTCTGTTTCTAAGTAGAATTCAATCAAGTAGCTTGAAATTTAGATTGTTTTTCCTTACTTTAATGGAAAAGAAATTTCTGTAGTGTGAGAATTTGGAAAGACAATATAAAATTGCTTCTCTCTGGTTTTCAATTTGTATAGTCGAACGATAAGGTTTTGCAATCTGTAAGCGCTGCTTAGAAAAATCCCTTAAAAAAACCTGTTAGTGCCTCCCTGTTGTGGTAATAATAATTTAGAACTGAGAAAACTAGAGACACTGTCAGTCTGGACTGACAAAGCTTCAAGTATGCCTTTAGGGGAAAAAAATGCTGTCCTGAAAACTGCAGGATGTGAAATGGCTCTAGTCACATAGCAGGTCATTGTGAAGCATGTTTGCCGTGATGATAGAGAAGACCTACACAGGCATCTTGTTCTTTCTCCTCCATTGCCAAGTTCCACTCTGGTCTTCATGCTTACCCTTTTGCAAAACAAGCATATTTCTGAGTTTTTTCTTAGTTTTCACTGATGTAGATTATAGTGTCTGGATCTAAATCCATGGACACAAGAGTTTTAGAATATCAATCTCTATATTGGAGTTAGAATTGTATGAAAATAATTACATTAAATGTTCTATGTTCCTCTAGTAAAATCCAAATATGCACATAAATCCATTTAACATATAAATTCCCTATTATTTTAAAATTACAACGTTGAGGAAAATACCCTTGTGAAAAAAGATGGTCTCAGGCTAAGACTGCAAAGGAGAAAAAACAGCTTTCATATTGTATTTTAATTTTCATATACTTGTAAAATAATTTTTTAAAAGGATAATACTCCCAATTGCCATGATCTAGTTTTCCACTTAGCTCCCCTGGTTTCTTTAGGGGCTTTTTAGGAACCTCTTTATATTTTTTCCCAAATTATTTTTCTTTCCTCCTTTCCTTCTCTTTCAAGAAAGAAGGAAAGGCTTACACAGAGCTGAAACGCCACATAAGACAGATGCCAGGACACTGTCAAGTTAATGACTCCTGAAAGGTGTCATGACTATGTGGACTTCACCTAATTCATTTGGGTTATTTTTTGTTTTGTTTTCAATTTCTTCATTTCGCTCTTCCAAAGTCCACTGTCTTGCTCTTCTCTTTCCCTTTTTCCTAGGACTTTAACTCAATTTTTCTTACTCCACTGTCCTCCAGGGAAATTCAACTGTTCTCTTTCTAGCTCAAGCCCTTGAGCAACAAGAAAAACTCTCTCAATGCTGCTTGCAGAAATTCAGAAAGGGTGTCCAGAAAATGTACCCAGCAATATTTGTGTCTGATAGTGAGACTCTTGTTGCCCCACTTTACTATAAGTAGCAGCTGATATCCTACTCTTTGACAAAACTGGGATCATCAGCTAAGAAGGACAGACGGCTGTGGTCTCTTTCCTACTTTTTAGGCAGCGCAGGAGGGAACAATACCTCCTCCCACCATACCATCTGTAAGACATTACTGCTTTATTTGAAGTCAGAAATTGCCTTCCTTTCTCCTGGATATTGCACTTCCTTGGGGATTTTGTTCTACTTACAGCAGTCTGTCTCTTAACCTTTAGCAGGTTGACACAGAGGAGAAGATTCTGTTATATAACACTTCCTAGAGTGGTACCAAGCATGCACAAGAAAATAAAAGAAGACTGAAAGGACAATTACTAGCTCATTAAATGTTTTATAAAGTGCCCTTCAGAATGTGATCCTTCTGAGAAGTTCAGTTCCACCCCCTGACATCTTCTTAACTAGCATTTGGTAGCTGTTTTAACCTGTGGCTTACCTAAAAATAGTTTCCAATCTGAAGATACTCAGTTTCCAATCTGAACACCTTTTCCTCCCACCCACACACGCACGCACACATGCACGCACATACATACATACACATGTACACATGCGCACGGGTTTTCTTGTTTCCGTGGAAACCCTGCTGGAAAGTATTTACATGCCAACTATGACTGAGATAAGTGTTCCATGAAAATCTAAGGCAATTTTTATGTCACAGGAGAGTGGTGCAAAAGCTTCATTGCTTCCATTGGATTTAATCCGCTTACCTGAGCAACAGTCTGGCAAAGCATGTTTTGCCTTCCCCACTGAAGAGCAGGAGCACCATTTCAGGACAGAGCATTGACTGGGACATATCTCCCCTGCCCTGGAATACTCATTCTATTCACATCAAATTAGCTTGGTGAGAATGTGAGTAGCACTGCATTCTCTGTCTTAGGGTATTAATCTGAGCTATGTTGAACTTTACTATTTCATAGAGAGAGAGCATAGAGAAGATTACAGCAGCCTTTGTTGTAAGGCTGTGACATATTCCAGCATCCCTGGTAGTTGTTTGATTCATCATAAAAAGGTTATTTTCCAAATCCCAAATACTTTTTCAGCTGCCACACTTGGACTAAAGTAAATGCCTGGATTTTGTTTGTTCATTGTAACTTAAAGAGAAGGTACTGCTATCAAATGGAGTTGATCTTTATTTTCACAATTCTGCCTAGTTGCCTGCTCCACATTTTTTGCTGCTGTATACCAGTTTGACTTACTTAAAAATTAGGACTGTGAAAAATGGCATGAGGATGGAGATGTTAGAAGTATCTCCATGATACCATAGCCGTTATTTCTCCAGGTGAATTGACTGCAGTTTTTTGTGTTACATTCTGAGAATTTCTTCTCAAATTCCCTAAAGAGTGCTATAACATAGCATAAAAACTAGCATAAAAGTTTTGGGAGCTGTAATTTTACCTATTTCTTCGAGTGCAGAAATAAGAGGACACAAGCAGCAAGAGGAGAATCTGAACCAAACACGTATTTGACCTTACTCCTTCCTGTAGGGTCCACTCTAAAGGTAGCTCTTTTCAGTTCTTTTCAGTCATGGTGAAGCAAGGATTAGCACAAATTAGCCATCCTAAGAAGAGTGTCCACATATACAGAATGCATTCTGAAAGCTAATGGATTTAATATTATTGCCTGCTTGAATTTTATTCAAGAATTTGTAAGGAAAGATGTTCCTTTCTTAGTCACCCTACAGAAATTGCGTACTCTTGTACTAGCTTACTCTCTCACCTTGTTTCACTTTTTTTTCTTTTAATGACATGTAGGAGAAGATAAATGAGTGATGTGGCTTACAGATAAGCAGAAAGCAGAGACTTGAGGCTGTTCATAGAGTATTGTCTATATTCTCTGCCTTTCTAGTAAAATAGATTAATGTGAGATGTGCCCTTCTAAAGAAAACAATAAACCTTGATTTTGAAAATCACTATACACCTCTGGGACAGAGTACATTTGAGATCACAATCACGTCTGTTTTTCTTGACTTACTCATTGTGAAAATTTGGATTGTACAGAACTCATTTCCAAAAAAACCCACGAAAACAAGCTAACAAACAAACAAAAACCCACCCCAAAACAAAAGAAGACCTGAGCAGTCCTTTGCAGCAAA